AATTGTGCAACAAGACGTCTCTCTATGCTAATAGCTTATTTAGCCACTCTTTGTATAAAATGAAAAGTTGATTAAAATGTAATCAGAGTCGAACATTATTTTCAACTTCACATTCACTATTACTTTTCTTAACAACCTCTCGCCAATCAGACTTGAACTTAGTACGTCTATATATGCTAATACGGTAATACCATATTTAGCAGCCTCGTTTAAACTTTTAAATATTGGCAACTCTTTTGCTTGCTTTTAAAGGGAGTTGAGTACTAATTTTGGTATTCCGCGGCTTCCAAGCAAAGATGTTTATCTCCTTGATGAAGACTAGGTTAGGAGTTTAGATTCTTTGAATTGACTTTCATAATCACAACCTAGTCACCTATTGCGGTATTGGTATTATCACGTCTCCTTATGAAGAATTACCAAAGTCCATAACCTAATATTATGACTACCTCAATTTTCAACTTTCCATTTTTTTCATTATTTAGCTTCTCAATTCGACCCCTTGCTAATTTTCAAAGTAGTCTCGAATCTTGAATTTATATTCTTGTCTGATTTGAATTTTCGATAACTTTCATAAATAAATGGTGTCAAAACTTAAATGTTCATTTTTAGCGTAATTCAACGTCATGAGATGACACCGTCTTGAAGTTTAAGCTAATTGATTATATCCCATCGAAAACAATAAAACTTTAAAGAGAGAATATGATACATAAGAACATGTAAGATTTGTATGGATTCATTTCAATATGAGACTGCATCCGCTTGCGTTGCTGTATTAATTCATTATAGTAAAAATAAGTTTGCAAGAAAAAAGTTTACACTATATTCTCTAACCTCTCCTTTTATGATAATCAAAATCATAATGAAGCTCCTCATTTTTAGACAAATTAGGGTAAGATCAAAATTACAAGCGCAAAATTTCTCAACTATCTTTGATGGAATTTTGGTTTAGGAACGCTACACAATGACAATAATTAAATTTTATAACTTAACATACGATACACCACTCATGTGCGGGTTGAATTCATTGATTTAA